TGACACCTTTAGTGTCTAATGTATTTTACACTATAAAATTAGTAAGGTTCTCTTGGGCTTTCCCAGGAAAGGAGTTAATTCTCATCAAACAATGGTACATTAGGAATAACTACAGTCAAATATCAAGCCCAGCTCTTGCATTCATAGGCTGGGTGACCTTGGGTGAACCTCTTAATTATGTTACACCTGTTTCTCCATCTGGGAAAATGGAGTTGATCTTTCTCTCTTCCCCCCGCCCCCCTTCCAGGAAAGATATAAATATAAAAATAAACAAGAACCTACATGAGATTTGCAACAACATGGATGGATCTAGAGAGTATGATGCTAAGCAAAATAAGTCAGAGAAAGACAAACACTGCATGATTTCACTCATATGTGGAACTTAGGGAAGAAAATAAACAAAGAAAAAAAGAGACAAATGGAAAAAACAGACTCCTAACTCTAAAGAACAGACAAATGGTTACCAGAGGGGCGGTGCGGGGTGGGTGGGTGACATAGGTGAAGAGGATTAAGAGCACACTTGTCATGATGAACACTGAGTAATGTACAGAATAGTTGAATCGCTCTACGGTACACCTGAAACCAATATAACACTGTGTATTAATGATACTAGAATTTAAAAAAAAGAATCTATATGAGAAAGCATTCTATGCCTCTTGGAGGGAAGCACAGTGGAAATCATGGGCAAGTGCATGCTTAAGGCAGGACATATGGGCTCCACACTGATTCAAAGGACACACGATTACATCAGCCCATGCCTTGGGTTCCCCATCAATAAGAAGGGCCAGCAGCATCTATCTCAGAGCTGGGAATTCCCTACTAGTACCTGGGAATTCTAAATATGCAGCAGTCCCAAATGTCCTGAATTATGCCCTGCAAAGCACTTGTTTTAAAGAACTAGCTTATTTTAAGAATTTTCCTATTTTACTCTAAATGCTAATCATATATTCTTTTGTTTCAAAAGCTCTCCAATCTGGAATAGACCCACTCCAAGATCTGAGCACATTTTGTAATAATAATTTTAAAGCCCCAGAATTTCTATAGTCAGCATATCTGAGATCTCTTCAAGACAGAATGACAAACTCAGTGACTCTGGCAAGGTGGGAAGTATGGTCATGAAGTCTTAGAGGAAGGCAAGAGCAGATATGGAAAACACGGTGGGGTCCGGCATTTCTCATGTACCATCCATCCCACTTCTTCCCCCCTTCTGCACTGCACATTCCCCCATGCCCTCCATATCCTGTGTCCCAGGTCTCTGCTCATTCTATTTCCCTTCAGGGCACAGATCAGGGCTATAGCAAGTATTTACATTTTTTCATTCTTAGAGATGCCAAAAGGTAGATCTCCAATGTGTAAGCTTGGCAGAGTGAGACAAGAATTTAGAATCTTTCCCAATACACAAGTAGATGATTACCCACTCATAAATCCAGCCCTGGAAGGATGCCCTTCTACCGCAGGAGGAAATATGGCGACTTGCTCACCTCAGCATCTTCAATAGGATGAACTCTGTATCAAAGAATCACATCTTTATATCACTCCACTGTAGAATAGTGAGGAGCGAATATTTACTACAAGAAATGACTAGAGATTCTGGGAAGTACAGCCCCCAAAATACATTTTAATTGAACAAAACTTTATGGGATCCCAGTTATGTATGTGCAGAGTTCCATGGCAGATGTTGGGGGAAGGGAGCCGGCAAGATGTCAGAAGGAGACAAAGCAGCTATTTTCAAATACTACAAAGACTTCCACGTGAAAGAGGGGAAGGGGAGAGAACTGGGAAAGGGAGCCAGCATTTAATGAGTGTTTCTTTACATCAGGAACTTTCTAAGCAGTGGATATGTAATGTGCAGCTTGAAATCCCCAGGCCACGAGCCATGGGCAGGGGGCTGAGCAGTCCCCTGTGCTCTACCTTCCCCTCATACCTGTTGGCTCCCACTGAGCCGTCTTTTCTGCTTCAGAAGCCTTTGGCCTGGTCTCATTCAGTGCCCATCAGCCCATCAACTCACATGCCTACAAGCAAAAGAGAGCTCTTTCATGGTTCCAAGCTATGGAGATGTTAAAGTAGAGGGAGTCTGATTTACTATCTATCAAGGACATTGGGGAAGGAATTCCATCAATAGGTGGGAAGTGTAGGCTCTAGAATTAGAAAGAATCCCAGTTCCATGCTTTCCTGGTTTGGGCCAGTTACTTTGTCTCTTTGAGCCCTCATTTCTCCAACTGTTTATGAGTGTTAATAAAGCCTTTCTAGTGCAGCTATTGTAGGATTAAATAGATATATATATATAAAGAAGCTAACATATGGTAGGTACTTAATACATGCTCTCTCCCTTCCTTTGCAGCTCAAGGCTTCAAAACCTCTTCTACATATTAGGGAAGACACATTACAAACCCTCTCCCAGGCACTAGCAAAGGCAAAAAGGCCTACTTATCCCTTCACTACAAGCCTAAATTAGAGATAGTTCAACGGCTTATAACTTAATCATTGCTGTTTTTAGTTGTAGTTTACAGAGAATTTTTCATGGACTTTAATCCTAATGGTTAAGTGGGCGTCATCAGTCATTTACACCATGGTGTCAATGAGTTTAAGATGCTTCTCCTGAGAGCAGGTTTTGAGAGGAGGAGGGAAAATGGCACCAGACTCCCAACATCTGGGGGAAAAAACAAATTTGAAGGACTGATAGAGTCCTGTATATCCTTTCCCATCTTTTTTATGTTCCTTTTTGCCCCTGCCTTATCAACATGCAAAGCTTTTTGCTATACAAAGCAACACAAAATGCATGTTTTCTAATTAAGCAGAAACAATTACTTTGGCTGATAGTTGAGCAAAACCACGAAGATTAATTGGTTAAAAAAAATACTGTGTGCAAAAGCATCTTGTTTATATACCCACCCCCCCAAGCCTCAATAAAAAGATTATAATCACAATTATGGATTCCATCAGAGGTTGCTTTACAAAGAAAAATTAATTAATTAATTAATTTTAAAAAGTAAATGTACAATGTAGATGGAAATGAAACATTTAGGCAATTATTGGCTTTCACCAGAAGATACAAAGTTTTATTTTCAACATAAAATAGAAGATATTTCTTTAGCTCCCACCTTGAATACTAGAGGAAGACATGTTACTAGTTGTATGAATAGAATGGTGAATGGCCAAAAGCAACTTTTATTTACTCAACACAGACAGGATGGAATTATGAAACAGCTTCTCATTAAGAAAGGAGGTTTTAGCTTTTTCAGTTGCAAAATGGATGTTTAGTTCACTTCCTCCTCTGTGTTTTCTGCAGAGCACTGCGGATTGTAACTGAATTTGCTTACTTCTCTGTACCACAGGTCACCACAGAGCTGAATTGAGTCTGTGGTGACATCCACTCTCCTCACTGGTACCAAACTGTCAAGAACATGACCCCAGAGTTCTTGTCTCGCTGAGGGTGATTTTCCAGTAAGCATTGAAGATCAGAAGAATCATGGGCTTTTATCTTCTCTCTTTTCCTTCAAACTACCCACCCCATCCGCATTCCTAACTCAAGTGAATGAGGACAGTCAAGAAGGAGTTGTCCACATGCCTTGAAAATACGTGAGTGGATCCAGTAAAAAGAGGCTCTCAGAGACCAGAAAATCTACAACTCCCTCTCAATTTACACTAGTTCAAATTTCTGAGTTCACATTTGTTTCTTGATCTTGGCTTATTCCCCTAAATTATTATGTATTTATACAAAGCAAAGAACTTTTTTTTGAGATACAGCTGACATAACATTACAATAGCTTCTGGTGCACAACATAATGATTCAATATTTGTATACATTGCAAAATGACCACCACAGTAAGTCTAGTTAACATCTATCACCACGTAGTTACACATTTCTTTCTCCTGATAACAAACTTTAAAGATCTATTCTCTTAGTAACTTTCAAATATGCAATACAGTGTTAACTAACTGTAGTCTCCATGCTGTACATTACCAGAGAACTTTTAAAGTACAAAATTTATGGACAACTCTCTATAACTTTAAGAAAAATGAAATTACTAATACCTGAAGTAGGGAATCTTTGAGCAGGGTTATTTACTTTTTTAGAGCAAGTTAAAGTCAGTAGTTGTGGCATATGAGAATAATCGAACATTTCATTTTCTGCTCACAAATGGTCTTGCTCCAGCTAAAAACTCAGCATCCAAAGAATACTACAATGTGCAATAGGATGAAAGCCTAGAGCCCATGCCACTTAAGTAAACTGCCCAGTTTTTCATTAATAGCTGTGCAATTCCCTGGCCAAGACCCTTGAGTCATTCTTAGAATCAGTCCTTCCTTTAGATAGATAGATGATAGATAGATAGATAGATAGATAGATAGATAGATAGATAGATAGATAGGATGATAGATAGATAGATAGATAGATAGACAGACAGACAGAAGGCTCTTGTAACTGTCTCATTAAAGACCTTTAGAGATTAGCTTAAGGTAAATAGAGGGGGGAAAATCACGGAAAACCAAAGCTGGATGGTTGCAGAATATATATTTCTACTTCGCGAAATTTCTAACTTACTAAAAGTCAAGTGATCTGACAACACAAGCCTTGCCAAGCATTTGTACTACTGAGTTGTTTCTTGCCATTCATATTTATTGACTGCTGATCCTTATTTAAGGGGCGAGTCACTTCAATGTTTGTGGGAAAGGAACATGGTATACATCAGTTAATCAATGAGAAAAATTTCTAACAGCTGAATTTAATCAAAGCCAGCTCAGAGTCTGAGTAAATCTCTGAAATGAAGAAAGTAGTTTATTCCCCTTCTCCAACCCCCATCAACTCTTGAGAATAAATGAAATGAGTAAATGGAAACCTAACCTGTGGCCAGTAAATAGCCAAACAACCTGGAAGTAACGTGCTGTTTCCTGGAAGAGATAAATCTGGAAACAAACTTAAGGAAAACAAAACAAAACTATCCGCCACCAGCTACGTAGAAAGAGAGGCATAACTGGGTCAGAATTCAGGAAATACTTACAATCATTATGAAGGTGCCCAAGAACTCAGAGACTGTTGCTTTAGCTAAGCTGCTCTTCAAGACCAGCTTCTGCTTGAAGCTTTTCCCCTTTTGCCCCTTCCCAGGCTGCATCGTGGGGCTTCTCCAAGAACCACTCTCTCCACCAGTCCCTGCTTCTTCTGGCCCCTACTTCACTCGCACGTGAAAACTGAAGTTTTAGCAACTGCTCAGATTCCTGGAGATGTCCGGTGAGATTCTCTGACTGTACAAACGCTGTCCCAATTGCAGCCCGTGACTTAATCCTCTCCTGGTGAAATTGTCATCCCCTGTTCACTGTTGTTTATCTGACTTTGTGAGTTACAGTCTGAAATCCCCAAAACGATCCTTTTTGTGCCTGATAGATTAATCATTACCTTTATTCTCAAGGTATTTTTTTCCTCTGTTGGTTTTTTTTTTTTTTTTTTTTTCCCAAGAGATGAGAAAGGAGATGTTGTGCTGGTTGTGTTGCCAAAAACCACAGCGATGGGCTCCAGTCCAGAAGAGATTTCATGTTACACAACTGCAGGCTTCTGATTTTTTTTTCCCCCTATTCAGAAGTGGGTGGTTGGGGTGCAGTTTGGGATTATCAAATCAGGTATACATACATCCAATGTAAACATTCTCTTCTGAAGGAACTTTTCATGCACGTTGGAGAATATGGAGAAAATACAGATGTGTTGTTCTGCAAGATTAATCACTCTTGTTTTCTTCCAGTATCATTTCAGTGATTTAATGACACCTCCCTAAGGGTGGTAAAAACAATTGCATCCATTCTAGAGATGGAGAAATTAACATACAAAGAGACCATTGCAAGTTTCACACTGCAAGACTTTAGGACAGGATGGATCTCCTCCTTGGTTACTATAGCTGGGCTTCATCTACAAACTGGGATCCAAGAATCAGAACGATGGAGAAAGCGACTTGTTGACTTTCTTCTGAAGGATTCCAGAAACTTGAAAACCAAGTTTCTCCCCTTCATTTTCCATGAAATATTTAAGCAAAACACATAGAAAATAAACAATAGTGGCTTGAAACTCTATACTGCCTGAAGATCAAAGAGACACCCCAGTTAAACAAGAAAGGGATTAAATACACTGAAACAAGGCTTCTAGGTTATACCATTGAAGTTTGATGAATTAACGTCCTTGCAGGCAACAGGCTCTTTAGGACTAGCATTCTGTCATGTCAAGTATTCAAGCCTTGCTTCTCAAAACTAGTTTGTCTGAAGAAATAGAATCCAGCAGTTGTTTCTGAATACCAAGGCAGTTTCATAGCATTAGTACCCACGCTCTGTGCTTCCTCCCAATCCTCCCACAGAGAAGCCAGTTCTCTTTCAGGCCTTCCCCTCCCTTTGCAGGAGGCCTACAGTCATTTCCAGCTGAGGAGGCAGGCAGGCAGGCAGGCAGGGAGGGAGAAGAGGTCTGGAGAAAACAGCTGTTTAGAGTCTAAGTACAGAAGGAGATACCTAATCTAGAGGTGAAATACAGAGTTTAGGCCTAAAAAAATTAGAACTTGCCAGAGGGCACACCATCCCAGAGCCAGGACAAGAATGCAGCATTTTTGGCTTTAACTCTTGGTTAAGTTATCATGGATACCATTGTCTAGAAGGATTACTGATGACTACCCTATTCCCAAGTCCCATCGGGTGGACCAGAGAAACAGGACTTTATTGCTGTGACTATAACTAACACTACACAAGAGTGTTCTTTGGTCTCTTCATTCACTCATCTCACAAATATTTATGGCATACTCATTATGTGCTAAACACTGCACTTAGCAAAGCACACAGAGTTCTTGCCCTTTACAGAGCTTAGAGTCTAGTGAGGGAGATAGGCATAGGGAAATAATCATACACACAGAAATATGAAATCACAACTGAGATGTATGCTATAAAGATGGAAGACATATTTCTATGAGCAAATAAAAGAGGGGGATTTCACCTGAACAGAGAGATCTCAGATGGCTTCTCCAGGGAAATCATGTCCCAGCTGAGATCAGAAGGAAGTGTAGGGTTTAACTGCACGAAGTGGGGAAGGAAGTGCATGTACAATGGCCTTGGGGAGTGGGGGTGGGAACAGTATTCAAGAACAAAAGGAATCTACTGCCTGACTCCCAGAGACAGTGAAGGAACACAGTGCAAAATGAACCTGGAGCCATGGGTGGGAGTCAGACCACACAGACTGAGCCTATAAATAACATTCAGGGCTAAAAGCAATGATAAGCTGCATAGGTGGTTTAAGTGAGAACACAACACTACCAAATTTGAGTTAAAAAAAATCATCCTGGCTGTGAGGTGGAAAGGAGATTGGAAGGGGCCTAAAGTAGGCATAGGTAAACCCACTGGAGGATATTACAGAATCCCAGGACTGGGTGGCTTTGACAATGGAGAGAAGAACTTTAGATCTTAAAATTGGAAGAACTTGGAAGCGTGGCTACGGAAGGTGAGGAGAGGGACTCAGCAGAGTTGATTCCTGGGGAAGGAGGTGCTAAGTACTGGGAGAGAAAACACCCAAAGAGGACCAGGACTGCTGTGGCAGATGGTGACGTCTGTGTGTGCAGATTACGCCTCAGGGGCTTTCTGGCGCTTCGGAGAAAAGATAGTTGAGTAGGAAGAGATATGGTTCTGGAATCAGAGGAGAGGTTTGTGTGCTCATAGACGTGATAATTGAAGCCAAGAATAAAGTTGAGCTTGCCTGGGGGCAGAATTTGAAGAAAGCAGAGGCTGAGTTTGTGGTACTGGACATTCCATGCTCACGTGGAGAATGAAATCTTTGTTATCTCACTTATTCTGCTTTCAGATGACAGTCACACTCTCACCTTCATCACCATGAACAACTTCTCATCAAACATAACTCACTCACACTCTCCTTTGCACCCTCCCACCAAAGTTCCTATTGGAAATATGGGGCCGCTTAGTTTCTTTCATTCATTCATCATTCATTCATTCATTCATCCATCCATCCTCCATTCCTTCATTCACTCACTCTTTCAGAAAAAGCTTTAACTGAGTATATACCATGTGTCAGACACAGGGGATTCAAAATTAGGAAAACAGAAGTCTAGTGCTAAGGCATTATATAGTCTGAGTGACAAAGTGACAAAGACTTCCAAATGAATACATCATGTAGCAAATGCTAAGCATATGCAAAGCACTGAACTAAAATTCCAGCTATCACCACATGGACATCTGAGAGTTCACTGTACATTGTCAACGTATCGACTAGTCCTGCCACCAAGAGTTCTAGAACCATGCTCCCCTAGATGCAGTGCCATGCTGACTCTCCAGTGCCAGCCTACCCAGCTCTCACCCCCCCGACTCTGTTACTCCCTGACCTCAATGTTCTCTTCTTCTCTATCTGGTTGTACCTTGAGTAACCATCTTTGCCTCCATTCATGGGCTTCAACAAGTCTGGTGTTCATAAGGAGAACTATCTCACACTCTGACCTCACTTCCTCAACCTCTTCTACTTGACCAACTCTATCTCCACTCTAGTTCAGAAGCCCCTTTGATGGCCATTGTTGGAATGTGTCACCATCTCCTCTTTGAGAACCTTTCACGAGAAGGCACATCTCACTGACTAAAACTTCCACTTCTCACATTTCACCCACTCTCTAACTTTCACAAATGTGCTGCACATCCTCCTCATAAATTTCAGTCCCTCAGTTATTTCCTGTCCACTCAGTTCTTAGCCTTGTGGTCATCCAGGTTAACAATGCACTTACCAGTATCTCAGGTTCCACTGACACACTGACTTCCTCCTACATCCACGCTGCCAAAGTCCAACTCTGAGTCTACCTAGCCACCTATTTCTCTCTCTTTGAAAGCTATAGGTAACATATGAATTTAAGCCTGCTTCTCCCTCTCCCATTCCCCTTGCTTGTGTTCCCACTCTCGCTGTGTCTCTGTCAAATAAATAAATAAAATCTTAAAAAAAAAAAAAGACAATTATGTAAAGAAAAAGAAGCAGATATAAATTACAACTTTTTGCTACTTGGCCTGTCTCTCATACCACACTGATGCTTAGAAGGTTAAAAACTATGTTGACTGGGGGCGCCTGGGTGGCTCAGTCGTTAAGCGTCTGCCTTCAGCTCAGGTCATGATCCCAGGGTCCTGGGATCGAGCCCCGCATTGGGGTCCCTGCTTCTCCCTCTGTCACTCCCCCTGCTTGTGTTCCCTCTCTCGCTGTGCCTCTCTCTTCAAATAAATAAAATCTTAAAAAAAAAAACCTATGTTGACTGTGTTGGATACCCAGCACCTGGTATGCCTATGGCATGTAATCTTTGAATAAACACATGTGGAGTTAGGGAGTGAAGAAACTCTTCACTTTCAGTTGAAGAAACTGAAGCCCAAGAGAGCAGTGACCTGTCTAAAACCAGGCAGTTGGTAGGACAGTGAGGATTCACAGCTGAACCTTTGGACTCTGGATCCAATGTACCTTCTACCATTGCTCAAACACAGTAGGGAAATCTGATTTTGTCACAAACTGAAAGATTTTGGCTTATGGATAGATTTTTATTCAAACTTTCCTAATTTCTTTATAATGTGCTATTGCACAGAATGAACACACTATAAGATTTCCTGGGTAGAATTGCAGCTCTGTGAGAATGAGGCCAAGGCCAAGGCGTTGGCAAGTGCCACTTGGTCTGGATGGACTCCACAGCCCCAGCCACATGCATCTCTCAATCACACAAAGCTGATCACACAGGCTGGGAGTGATCTACAAATCTGTCTCCAGAACTGCAAAAACAAAAGCAGGTGCCCTCCTGATAGCGCATTCGCAACAACAATCGTGTATAGCTCAGTTACTATTATAGTTTCAACTTCAGTATTTCAGGAGCCTAAATTATTCATCAGGTTGGGGGTTGGGGTGAGGAGTCACATGTCTCACAAGGACGCCCATTGCCCTGGAAGTCCACGCATCCCCGCACTAGCAAGGATGCTGGACACAATATCTTGAGAAAGGCGCTGAAGGCCCCCCAAGTCTCTCAGCAGTTGGGATAGGAATGCATTGCTTGTTTTTCAAACTCTGCCAGTGGAGAGCCCCAAATGCCTACTAGTTGCTGTATAATAGCCCAGTGTGCTCTCCACACAGTCCTGAGAACCTGGGAGTTCCTTCTTGTTCTAGTAAGTAGCTAGCACTCGTTCAGTTGGTTATATTGTCAGTCATTATCTATGAAAGTGCTAGATCAGAACGCTTTCCTTTCAGAAGCTACTCCACAAATTTTAATTCTAACTGCTCCATTAGGCCAGAGGACAACAATATCTCTTTGTAGAGCTCTTTTCAGGGTAGACCCCTTCTCCTAATTTTATATTTATTGTAGCATGGGGAGAGACCGCAATGATCACTGGTCCACTTCCTGGTAAAGACATTAAATAAAGGGTTTAAGGAGAAGGTGACCTTTACCTGATCCTCAGAGAAGACGTGGCACCCTAAGCTAAAGAACATCCTGGAGTTCTTTCTCCAAGACTTGTAGGAGACTCCCGTGAGACACCGAGGCATACATGGGAGGTAAGTTTCCCTCATCTCCTGAATTCACTATGGGCTTTATTATTATTACAATTTTTAAAAATTAACTTCTTAGCTGATGAAAAATATAATGACCGCTAGAAATTTTAAAACAAAATCATATTTTCAAATAAACCATTATCGAGGAGCTCACTGCAAAACACACCACTGGCAACAAAACTTTTGTCCTTGGTAGTAAGTTAAGAGTGTGTTTTGAAATGCTGTATTTCTCAATGGAAGTACACTCTCAAAATATCTCTAAACGTCTTCTAGTTTAATACAAAGAATTTAGAGACTATGGTAGTGGCTCCCTCATATAGACCTTATACAGATTAATCTCTGAATAATTGATCAAATCTCCACATAGCCGAGGTACTTAAACAGTTGAATTGATAAAAATAACCAATCAACTAATAATCACAGAAGCAGTACAGAAAAAATCTAAAGTCAACTCCATTTTGACTGAATTGTCTGAATTGAACACAATCATAACTAATGTGTGCTCAGTGAAGGGATCTTTGGCTTCATGATTTTCATGACCTCTATGATCTGAGTTCATTGATCTTCTGGGTACAAAGACGAAGAATATCTGTTTACCCAAAAGTTTGCTCAGAGAGAATTTGTTTAAGGG